GGCAGTTCTGAAGGCAAAAGGGGGTCCAACCCGTTACTAGCGTGGTGTACCTAATAAAGTGGCCGGTGAGTGTATATATATATATATATGCGTGTGTGGTTTTCATCCTGGTCGTGGAACAGCGGACCAGCTCTACAACCTCAGCAGGGTTCTGGAGGGTGCATGGGAGTTCGCCCAACCAGTCTATTTGTTTTTTGTAGACTTGGAGAAGGCATTCGACCGTGTCCCTCGGGGACTCCTGTGGGGGGTACTCCAGGAGTATGGGGTACCAGGTCCATTGATACTGGCTCTTAGGCCCCTGTATGACCGGTGCCAGAGCTTGGTCCGCATTGCCGGTAGTAAGTCAGACTTGTTTCCGGTGAGAGTTGGACTCCCTGGTGARGTGCTGGGCAGACCCAGGACACGCTGGAGGGACTATAGTTCTTGGCTGGCCTGGGAACGCCTTGGAATTCCCCTGGACGAGCAGGCCCAAGTGGCTGGAGAGAGGGAAGTCTGGGTCTCTCTGCTTAGGTTGCTGCCCCCGCGACCCGACCCCTGATACGCGGCAGAAAACGGACGGACGGAAAACTTAAAAAAAGAAGAAATTGTTGCTGTCCATCAATTTTACAAGGCCATTTCCAAATAAGTTTAAATCCATCATTTGTAGCGAGAATTAGAGTCATTTATGATTGTTGTTATTTGGCTGAATTGCTGTTATTTTTTAATTTTTCCAAATTTGGAGATAGTTCAAGTTTAAAGTTCTTTTTAAATAACGGGCAGATAAATAATGGGTTGTTTCTTCTTTTCTGCACCCTTTTGATTTAGTAACTTGGGGATTTTTTTATTAATTTTGTGTTATTTATGGTAAATGGATTAAATAAATGAACAAATAATAAATAAAAAAGTATAACTCCATGACTGACTATAAACTTCTCTGTAGATCAGGTTATCTGGATTCAAACATGGGGCTGTCAGCTGAAGCTGAGACCAAATTGACGCAACAAAACGATGGGCCTCATGCAAGAACCGTTCGTACGCACAGATTTGTTCTTAAGTTATGCGTTCAAGTGATTTAGGAGAATTTGTGGCATTCACCAATGTTTTCGTATTCTAAAAATTTTTTCAGATACTAACAAAATTCACGAGTGGTCCAGACCTGTCGTTTATTTTACAAGCAGTCAGTCTGCTGTTATCCAGACGGGTTTTCCTCCCTAATAACTTTATATTTTGTTAGTTTGAAGATATTTTGAGTTGAAAAAAAAAGCTCGTCCTGGGGGACTCCGAGACATTCCAAGGATAGAGGGGAAACATAATCCCTCCAGCGACTCCTGGATTTTCTCCAAAATACGAACATGTTCTTGCATGAGGCCCAATCATCTCAAATACACTTAATCTACAACAGATTGACTAAAAAACGACAATTGTAAAGTACTGCAATGGCCAAGTCAAAAACCAGACTTCCACCTGATTGAAAGGCTGTGGCAAGCTCTTRAGTAGAAATAACTGTCTGCAAATCTTAAAGAAATGAAGCAACACTGGAAAGAGAAGTGGCCCAAAAGTCCTCCACAACCATGTGAGAAACACAAACCAAACAGAAATGACTCGAGAGTTACTGCTGCTTTTTTTATTTATTAATACAGTGACAGTTTTTATTTCATCTCTTAATCTGGATCTGAGTCATAAAGCTGAGTTGTTATGACTTTCAGTAGCCTCAAGCTTTATCTGTTCCCTCATCCAAATCCTCCAGGTTCACAGAGGAATCCCAGTGTTCCCAGACTGATGCAGAACAAAATCTCCTCCACTGTTTTGGTTTGGACAAAAGTTTTGTTCTTTGTGGAATTGTGAGGCCAGACACGTACGGAGCAAAACTCATTTCAGCTGCTTGTATTCATGATCTATCCCCMCTGTCACCAGCAGAGTCTCATACACATAAATGAGCACTGGGAAGCTCGCCTTCCTCCGACCACCACAGTCAGTATGAAAACCTCTTAGGACACATTTTGATTTGTCACGACGAGAACAACGCATCACTATAATAACACCAATGGTTCYGTTTGTCCAGCTGTCTCAGAAAGCTATGCTAGACACAAAAACTACATATTTTACTTTTTTTTGGCTGACATTTGACACCAAAGCCGAAATGGCTTTTTAAAGAAATACTCCACTGCTTTATTCTAGCTTCAACTGAATACTCCATCTGTTGCCGTTACATTGTGAAGTATTTAAGCCTCTTTGGCTGCTCAAAGCCCGAAGTGTCGATGGCTCYGCCGTGTTCGTCCTCCCTTTCACCTGTGCTGTCATGCACGTATGGACGACCTGCTTGGTAACACGGGCTCCTTGGTGTGACAGCACATAAATCACCAATGCCAAAGGAATTACTTGGATAAAAGAAATGGCTCTCCCCTCAGCTGTAATGGCTGGATGAAACGTACTATTGTGCCGCGCTATGAGGAAGYAATATTCTGAAGCTAGTGTAATTAGAACCCCAGAGATGCTTCATTACAGGGAACTTCTCCCGAGTCTACAGCTCGCTTTGTTTCTACATTTGTCTCTGAACTCTACACACAAACGTAAAATTAGCTTCGACTCACAAAACCACCACATTCAATACATTTAAAAGAGGAAATATTAAACAAAAAGGGACCAAGAATTAGTAAGCAAATGAAACATATTTGCATATTTGTGTCCAGGATTAACAAAAGGTCCATATTTAAGGACTGAAACAATAGTATTACTATTAACGAGTTTATTTTTCCATAACCATCAAAATATGGCTGCTCCAGATGAAGTGCTGTAAGAAAAAAAAACATATAAAAAACAGACTTATATGATTATTAGTTGATACGTCATATGTATGATGATCTCATGCACATTTCCAAAAATTAAAACTTTAAAATTTCTTTACTCTTTGTTCATTAAAATTTTGACTCTCCCCCCTTTTAGTGTTTTTCCAATGTAAACATTTCAAACTGCACAATCAGAAATATGCTGTAATAAACTGTCAAATGAGCATGCAAGAATCACCTGCTGCAGACAGATCARTCATCAGCAGCGCACAGATCAGCGTGCCTGTGTGTTTGACTTTAGAATAGATTAGAATGCTGCATTCAAGGCTGGTGAAAAGCTGGGACATCTTAGCCTCATCAAATTTACATTGTTATTGGGAAACAAGATTTTTTTTTTCACTTGGCACAGTGGCTCCTAACCTMTAAACCAGTGGTTCCCAACCCTGGTCCTCAATGACCCCATATCCTTTATGTTTTAATTGTTTCCCTGCTATTYAGCAGGTCTACAGAAGATTGTTAATCACTCATTCATTCAAACCAGGTGTGTCAAATCAGGGAAACATCTAAACATGCAGGACAGGAGYCCTTGAGGATTAGGGTTGAGAACCACTTCTTTAAYACATGTTATCTGATAGATGGCAAAGAATCAATGGCTTCCAAAGTCAACACTAAAAAACATAAAACTAAGTCAATATGATATTTGAAAATATCTCATCAAGCTCAGAGAAGTTCTTGAGGTGTTGGTCAATATTTAAAGCAGTGATTCTCACCCCTAGTCCTTAGASCACCGTACGGTCCAACCTCTGAAGTAAATATGAGCTAAACATACATTTAGAAAGGATTAAGGCAACAATTACTGGTGGTGGGAACAAACAGGATTATACTATGCTTAGCACAAAAAAGTAAGTCAATTTGTGTTTGGTAGATGATTTCTTTGTTGTAACAAAGTTTCTTGGCAATAAATCATGTAGTGTTGGAAAGCTTGTTAGTTCCCCTTTTAAATGATGCCAAATTTGTAAGGATCACGCATTAATCCTCTCTGCCAAACARCTTATTTTGTTCTTGATWYTGACACTTGTTTTGAGCTTCTGGTACCCACAGGTGCTGCCAGTCAGGTGCCCGCTATAAGATTTATTGCCAAGAAGCATTGTTACAACAAATGTCCTTATTTTTTGTGATAAAGTATATTTAGTAACTCAGATAACAGAACAGAAGTTATCCATGTACATYAGTTGGGTGCAGGTGTGCCAGCTTTAAATCTGGAGCATGAAGAAAGTCTCAAAAGTCACATTCACAAGTAAACTGATCTGTATATAGTAGGAATGCGCGATATAAATGATATACGGTAGAAACTATATAAATTTGTCCTATGATATAGATCTGTAGTCTACGGCCAACCGCGCAATTCTTTTTGATGACGTAACCAGCTGGAGTCAAAACAGAGGAAGCATGGCTGAGAGCGCAAATGAAGATGGCAGCGAGGCGACTGTCAGTGCAGGTGAAGTCCGTGCTCAGGTGGGATGCACAAAAATCTGTCTGGACCTCGTTTCTCCTGCGGTCATAGTGCGACGACGCACGGCCGAATGCACGCGCACTCCAAAGCGCGACTATACAGTAATGATTGTCACCCCGTCGGAGCGCACAGATTAAACAGGTGGAATGC